ATTCCTCTCACGTAGAGGGAAATTCGGTGTTTCTTATCGTTCAAACGCCTCAGTTTACGAGGTGTTTTCAAAATATGAATCAAACTAGACGCGTGGCGTTGACTCGGCATTCTCTTCTGACTGTTAGACTGATATAGTAGTGATGGGTATTTATGCCTAATCGTTCTGCTCACGATCATCATCCTCCTCCTCGTCATCACCGTCGTTATCCTCTGCAACGCTATCAGATTCAGTCTCACTTTCTATTTCCGGCATATCCATCAAAGGCAGGATCTCTTTCATCTTGGGTTTTAGGAGGAGTTTGATTTTATTTTTGAGAACGGATTGTTCCGTGGAAGGATTCATGTCTCCCAGGTTGTATAGCATGTTTTGAAACAGAGGTGCCTCTTTAAAGTACGTGGTATATTCCATTGCATAGTTGAGAGTACTACGCACTAGATCCTCCCACCTCAGTTTCAATCTTCTCTCAATCCATTCTTGCGTTCGTCCCTGTCGCTTGTACTGTTTTTTCTGCAGTTTCATCTTGTCATGAAACGTATCGTACACCTGCTTCCAGATGCGTTGTAAGCCTACATTTTGCCACTCCTCGGCTTCCATATTAGTGAATGTTGACTTTCCACGTGGAGGTTTGACGGCAAGACCACTGCCTTTCTGGGAAGAGGCTAGGTCGTCAAAGTCACTGTCATCGTCATCACTCTCGAGTCTGGCACACTTTCTCTTAGGTTGAAGGCTATTGGCCGGACACCAGTGTTTGATATGTCGCTGTAGATCGTGCATATTATCTATCAGCACCCCGCAATCTGCGCAAGCCGTGGCCATTGTCAATGATGTCTCACTACTCGTGTCTGAATCGGTTTCAATTGGAGTGAGCTGATGTTGGGGCAATCTCTCTTCTTGTGTCAGAGGACTATCCAGAGATTCTGTTGTAGTCAACTTCTCCCTACGCATATCAGGTTCAGACTGTGCTGTTGTTCTCCTGTTTTCCTCATTTATGAGGTTAACATGCAGTCGATCCTTATCTTTGGTGGTAGGTTTTAGATCGATGGTGAGTTGTCCATAGGGTGTTTCAGCAACCTTTTCATACATAGCCATAAAGTGATCCATATGTTCGGGGAAAATTCTACGAGCGAAGAGTTTGATTTGCTGTTTATCTATGGGGGAATGAAACAGGGTGACATAATGCGCGTTCAAAGCAATGTCTCTCGATTCCTTACCTCTCGGAAACAGATTTTGTATCAAGAGAAAGATCAATACATTCTTGTGATGTGAGGTTTGAGTAAACAGCCGCGAAATACGCTTGTCGTGCTTTGCTTCGGCCAGGAAATCATCCAGGACCAACACGTTCTGTTGACGAGCATCAAAGTAATCCTCGTCCAAGATATCGTAGGGAATTCCTTTTACAAAGGTCAGCTGAGGCAGCTGCTCACCGAGGTCCTGATATAATGGCTGCCATTGAGTATAACACCAAACGATGCGGGTAGGTTGGGGTTGGATCAGGCCATGCCGGAGTACATGAGAGGTAAACACAGACTTTCCACAACCACTGGGTCCCACAACGAGCGCATTTGAGGGAATCAGGAACTTGAATTGTTCTCGAAAATCAGATATACATGGTAAATGAGGCAGCCACGAGTGGACTTGCGATGGCGGCGGCGGATGCGGATGTGCTTGTAACGGCGGGTTGGCTTGACGCAGCGGCGGCGGTGGGTGGACTTGCGGCGGCGGCGGCGTTAGCGGCTGGGCTTGTAATGGCGGGTGGATTTGCGGCGGCGGCGGCGGCGGCGGTAGCGGATGGGCTTGCGGCGGCGGCGTTAGCGGGTGGGCTTGTAATGGCGAGTGGACTTGCGGCAGCGGGTGGGCTTGTAACGGCGGCGGCGGTATGCTATGTTTATTTCTCCTGTGTCGTAACATGACATCTCTCCTTGAAAACATTTTTTCACAGTCCGGACAGGTGGCAACCCCCATGGTGATCCAATACGGTGTGCGATTAGAGGGTATGAAGCTTTCTTTTATACCCTTGACTCTGTTGACGCTTCAAGGCAGCAAGTGCCCGTTCCACCACAGCCTTCACCTATGAGTCATCCTATATTACACACACACACACACACACACACACACACACACACACACACACACACACACACACACACACACACACACACACACACACACACACACACACACACACACACACCCCACCCCCTTGCGATCGTTCCGATAGGCTGGGGGACCCTTTCAGTCTGGTGGTCTACCATGGTCTACCAAAACCAGCTCCTGCCTGGTGACACTATACTACTGACGTGAATATGACGTATCACAACGTTAGGCCATGACGTGGTGACACATAAAACTGTCCACAGAATAACGTTATATAGACGTAATATCCCCAACGTACCACAACGTAAACGCAACGTTATCACAACGTTGTCACAACGTGAAATTGTTAGCTGGGTATAGGTTTCTTCAGTCCGAATTGAGATTTTTCTAATGAAGAACTATTCGGTTTGGGTTTTTTCGTAGGTTTGTAAAGAGTGGACATACAGATATGAAATGATGTGGATCCTCAAAGTTGTGACGACATTGACAGGGCGGTTCCGCATGCGTGTGTCTGTGAAAGGGGTAGGGGATGGGGTGAGGACATGTGTCATTCAAGCAGCATGTACACCCCACAACACCTGATACTTACGCCTCCAGTAAATTAATGAATTTATACACAAACATACAATCAAACAAGGACGTTTGAAATAATAAGGGGGTGCTCTGAGCCTCGGGAGAGTGACCTCAGCCTAGGTCCAAGTCACTCAAGAGTGACCTCAGCCTAGGTCCAAGTCACTCTACACTGATCTCAGCCTAGGCTCAAAACACTCATGAGTGACCTCAGCCTAGGTCCAAGTTACTCTACAGTGATCTCAGCCTAGGACCAAGTCACTCAAGAGTGATCTCAGCCTAGGTCCAAGTCACTCTACAGTGATCTCAGCCTAGGACCAAGTCACTCAAGAGTGACCTTAGCCTAGGTCCAAGTCACTCTACACTGATCTCAGCCTAGGACCAAGTCACTCAAGAGTGATCTCAGCCTAAGACCAAGTCACTCAAGAGTGATCTCAGCCTAAGACCAAGTCACTCAAGAGTGATCTCAGCCTAGGTCCAAGTCACTCTACAGTGATCTCAGCCTAGGACCAAGTCACTCAAGAGTGACCTCAGCCTAGGTCAAAGTCACTTTACACTGATCTCAGCCTAAGACCAAGTCACTCAAGAGTGATCTCAGCCTAGGACCAAGTCACTCAAGAGTGATCTCAGCCTAGGACCAAGTCACTCAAGAGTGATCTCAGCCTAAGACCAAGTCACTCAAGAGTGATCTCAGCCTAGGACCAAGTCACTCAAGAGTGATCTCAGCCTAGGACCAAGTCACTCAAGTGTGATCTAAGCCTAGGACCAAGTCACTTAAGAGTGATCTCAGCCTAAGACCAAGTCACTCAAGAGTGATCTCAGCCTAGGACCAAGTCACTCAAGAGTGATCTCAGCCTAGGACCAAGTCACTCAAGAGTGATCTCAGCCTAGGACCTAGTCACTCAAGAGTGATCTCAGCCTAGGACCAAGTCACTCAAGATTGATTTCAGCCTTGGCCCAAGTCGACCTATAGAGTGATCGCAGCCTAGGCCCAAGTCAACCTATAGAGTGATCGCAACCTAGGTCCAAGTCACTCTAGTGTGGTTTGAGCCGAGGCCCAGGTCACTCTAGAGTGATCTCAGCCTAGGACCAAGTCACTCAAGATTGATCTCAGCCTAGGACCAAGTCACTCAAGAGTGATCTCAGCCTAGGACCAAGTCACTCAAGATTGATTTCAGCCTTGGCCCAAGTCGACCTATAGAGTGATCGCACCCTGGGCCCATGTCGACCTATAGATTGATCGCAGCCTAGGCCTACGTCAACCTATAGAGTGATCACAGCCTAGGCCCAAGTCAACCTATAGAGTGATCGCAGCCTAGGCCCAAGTCAACCTATAGAGTGATCTCAGCCTCGGACCAAGTCACTCTAGAGTGATCTCAGCCTCGGACGAAGTCACTCTAGAGTGATCTCAGCCTCGGACCAAGTCACTCTAGAGTGATCTCAGCCTAGGTCCAAGCCACTCTAGTGTGGTTTGAGCCTCGGACCAAGTCACTCTAGAGTGATCTCAGCCTCGGACCAAGACACTCTAGAGTGATCTCAGCCTAGGCCCAAGTCACTTTAGAGTGATCTCAGCCTCGGACCAAGTCACTTTAGAGTGATCTCAGCCTAGGCCCAAGTCACTTTAGAGTGATCTAAGCCTCGGACCAAGTCACTTTAGAGTGATCTCAGCCTAGGCCCAAGTCACTTTAGAGTGATCTCAGCCTAGGCCCAAGTCACTTTAGAGTGATCTCAGCCTAGGCCCAAGTCACTTTAGAGTGATCTCAGCCTAGGCCCAAGTCACTTTAGAGTGATCTCAGCCTAGGCCCAAGTCACTCTAATGTGATCACAGGTTGTTCGATGTTACATTAAAAACAGGGAAGTATCCAACTGAGGGGTGAAGGGTGTGATACTCCCCATTCACAAAGAGTTATAAGTGAGACTACTGTCGATAATTACAGAGGAATGACACTTCTCTCGTGTGTTGATAAATGATTTAGTAATGGCCTCAATACTTGGGTCGTAGAGTGGAGTGAGAAGTAATTCAGTTCTAGTTGAAAAGCAGAGAAAATTATAGCACCATAGATTCTGATTTCGTGTTACCTGGTCTCATAAATATGGCGGTGGGGTAGCCTAGTGGTTAAAGCGTTCGCTTGTCACGCCGAAGACCCAGATTCGATTCCCCACATGGATACAATGTGTGCAGCTATGTCTGGTGTCCCCCGCCATTTTGTCTATTTATGAGACGAGAAATAATTCAGTGAAATGTTTCAGAAAGTCTTGTCTTGCATTGACCAGTATCACCATTCTTATGACAAGACCAACAATCCGGAGAACAAACAAACAAAGAACATTACCTGTATAAAGAAGAGCTTGGGTTTGCCGGCCAGGGAGGGGCAATTGCGTGCCTGGAAGGGGTAGGTCAGGGAGGAGATGGCGATGTCGCGGCAGTTGACCCCGTACACTGACCCGTGGTTGTTCTCGGACCCATGTGACAGGATACAACACACGAAACAGCTGTACCCGGAATGATCCTCTGCGTAGGCGACCACATGCGACTGCCGCAGCATCTCAGTGTCAGTGAGGTTGTCCTTCTGTTGCACATGGAATCCTATTTCCTGGAACAAATCTCGTAGCCTCCTTGCATCGGTTTCCGTGCCGTGTCGCGTGGCTAATCTTTGGTCGGGTGGGAGGTCAGTCTGGTCAAAATCTTTGTTGTTGATTATCAGACAAATGCCTTTGACTTTGGTGTTCATCTTGTATGCTGATACGTCTTTGCAAATATGTTGCGCGGGGCTATCGTAATCCATTCTAGGCGCCCTGGCGCAATGGCCCGTCTCTCCTTCTGGAAAAGCATCCATGACAGCGAGGCTGAACAAGCGTTCCACATTGTACCCCGTCTCCGCCGACACAATGAAGTGTTTGATACGCCCATGGTTTGAATCAATCTCATCGACGTCAAACACACCTCTCTCGGCATCAGCGACGTCGACGTCCGCTCTGTTACCAACAAGGAACACCTTCGCCCTCGGTGCCTTGAATTTAATTGTTCTGGAAAATTTGTTTTTAATATTGTCCCGAGAACGCTCATTTGTGGCGTCGTACAGTTTAAGGACGACGTCAGCGTTACGGAGAAGAAAGCTGAAGAAAAGACGTATTTTGGGTCCGCGCAGTTCGAAGATATTCATCTCGGCCGTTGTCCAAGGAGCGGTCACTCTTTTAGCCCAGGTTGCTGAATTCTCCATTGCCATGGTCTTCAGTTTCTTGTCGGCGGTAAACCGTCTGATGAGGGTCGACTTGCCGACAGAATCCCCGATCACAACAATCTTAATTATTTTATTTCGCCCTTCCTCAATTTTGGTGTAGCCGTCTCGACTGGGTTTTCCACCCATGATGCTGAAGGTCTGTGCGATGAAGGAATGGCAGTGTACAGTCAGCACGGCTCTGGTCACTGGTATAAGATGTCAGATTCACTTAAACGCATGGGAATTTCCAACTAACATATTATCTGTGTACAGGTCCGACTCTCAACTTCCTTGTTGCCTCTCGTGGATCGCCCAGGTCTGAAATAAGGGAAATCATAGCTTAACACAGATGGTGATACTTCCGGGTATTGATACCGCGTTTCAAGCGGGATTCAGTCTCTCTAAACTTTCTTTCTTTCTTGTTTAAAGCCGCAATATTCCAGCTATATGACGGCGGTCTGTCTATAATCGAGTCTGGGCCAGACAATCGAGTGATTGGCATCAGGAGCATTGATCTACGCAATTTGGGATCTTTCTAAACACATAAACACATCTCCTGTAAACATCAACACATCTCCTGTAAACATCTTCACATCTCTTACTTACATCATTTTGATCGGTAAATGTCCCTTATAGTTATAGGTGAGGTGAAATTGGGTTTAACGTCGCGTCCAAGATTATTGCACTTATATAGCGACGTGCATGCATGTGTGTGTGTGTGTGGGGGGGGGGGGGGGGGGGGCTGCTTGTACTAGTCCGGACTGATGCCGATTTATAGTGCTAGCTCACTGAGATACCATGTCGCAGTTTAACATAAATACACCCACTCTGACTCCCAAGCCGACCAGTCCTTGTTTTAGCCCCTTAATGCCGAGCGCCAGACAGGGTAACAACAAGTACAATCTTTTAACGTCTTTTGGTATGAGGCGGCCGGGGATCGAACCCCGGACCTTCCGCTCTCCGGGCGGACGCTCTACCACTGGGCCACTGAGGCGGTCTCCATATAGAATGAGAAACAGGGAGACATATTCGTCAACCCTGAGAACTGTATGAATAGTGTAACGGCAAAACGATTAAAAACGAGTTTATGACAAGTACTGCTTATCATGTCATCAGTTCAAAATATATATATATGAAAATCAGGTCAACAATTTCATATTTAACATCTCGTAAATAATAAGCTGATGATGTCCTCTGTTCCATGTGGCCCGTGAAGATCCGGAGTAGAATAGGTCTTCAGCAACCCATGCTTGCCGTAAAAGGGGATATGCTTGTCGTAAGAGGCGACTAACGGGATCGGATGGTCAGGCTCGCTGACTTGGTTGATGCATGTCATCGATCCCAATTGAGTGGATCGATGCTCATGTTGCCAATCACTAGATTGTCTGGTCCAGACTCGATTATTTACAGACCGCCGTCATATAGCTGGAATATTGCTGTGTGCGGCGTTAAACAACAAACCAACCAAATCTTGTCCACGTACAGTTAGAAATTGGCGTATACCATGCCGTGTATTTGAGACACTGTAAATTAACTTAACAGAACATGTATCGCCCTTTCGCCAATATGACGAGGGGCGGTCGGGTAGCCTAGTGGTTAAAGCGTTCGCTCGTCACGCCGAAGACCCGGATTCGATTCCCGACATTGGTACAACGTGTGAAGCCCATTCCTGGTGTCCCCCGCCGTGATGTTGCTGGAATATTGTTAAAAGTGGCGTAAAACAAGACTCACTCCTCGCCTATGGATGGATTGTCTCCTCGCATTTCTTGAATACACTTCTTGAACTCCCGCCCAATGTTTGTGTGGACTGCCGACGGACTATAACTCGTCACATTAGATCAAAATAACGATGTCAGAACGATTTTTTCAGAATACACCCTCATTGACGAGTTTGTTTGCTTGTATATTTAAATGGACCACCTCCGTGGTCTTGTGGTAGAGCGTCCGCCCGGAGAGCGGAAGGTCCGAGGTTCGATCCCCGGCCGCCTCATACTAACAGACGTTAAAAGATTGTACTTGTTGTTACCCTGCCTGCCAAGATGGGGAAAACCCAATAACATACGAGCTTCTACACCACTACGGAAGATGTAAGTACCAAAGTACCGAGCCCTCGGCGTGACGAGCAAACACTTTAACCGCTAGGCTACCCCACCACCTCTCGACCAGTACAGGTCGCTGGGGGCTAGTCTACCGCTACCTCGGAATCTAAGGGTTATGGAAGAGGGGAGATTATTTGAAACAGTACGGTACACGCATTTTCTATACAGACTCGGTGTCATTTATTTAAAACAATCTCATTAAAATCAGATCTAAATTCTCGCTGCCGCTAAACAAAGATCTGAGGACATCCCATTACAGGTCACGTCAGAACGACCTTTCGCTAGCTTTGACCGACCACTGAAATGACTAACAGGAAGTCGACGTCAGCCAATTAGGAAGCAGCTTTCGCGAGCTTCACGGCACACGTTTCAACCTGACGACTTCCATTTCAGACTACGCTTGAAAAATATTTTGACACAGTTCTCGATTAAATTTTGAAAACTAAAGAAAAACGAACATTCCGGAATGTCTAATATATGGTTGAGATTGTATGGCAGTGCTTCCCACGTACTGTGCAACGCCTCCTCCGTTCAAATGTTTATCCTACTGAAGCGAGAGATAGACGATAATTTTGACGGAATCAGTCCTACGAGCCGTAACTGTCTTTCGGAATACCCCGTGTAAACGTTTTCGAGGTTGCATGATTAGAAAACACAATCCGAATGTCACTTTTATGATCTGGTAAGTGACGCTTTGATTGGTCGGATGAAAGGTCGTTCTGACTTGACCCGTAATGGGATGCCCTCAGGTCTTTGTTCAGCGATAGCGGGAACTAAGATCTAAATTTAATGAGATTGATATTCAAAAGGAAATCAATTTCTTGAATACACAGACATTGAATGCGTGAGCTGTTATCAGGGTATCTATGAATGGGTAGATAGTGAATGTTATGAACAGTAAATAGACCGCTCACTACGTACTGATAGCTGTAATGCGCCATATTATAACAGGCGTGGTTATTTCCATACAAACATACACCATGTACATTACTGGGAGCAACAACATATATACGGACTGGGCGCCATTAAATGGCATTGATTCAGCTTTTAAGTCAGCTTAAGATCCAACCATTCTTTGGGGAGGGTCAAGACCATCTGCCCGAGGCAAGAGAGTTAACTGGACTTTTATAGTCAGTTAACTCTCTTGCCTCGGGAAGATGGGTCGCGACTGGCATTTAGGTTATTTTTTACGTTTTTTTCCTCCTGAAATAAACAAATGAAATGAAAACATTTGTTCTGGGGGTTTACCAAAAAGCTAGCCTTGCTCCAAGGCTGTACTGAAAGAAAAGTCCATGGATGTGTAGTAATTCTATCCTCCTTATAGGCAAGTCTAGATATGTTGACAGTACAAGGACTAAGTACAGTCTAACCATCCCATCTCTTATAGGGACAACTTGTTCTTATTATTTGCATAATCTACAAATTATGATTTAAACAAATAATTATTGTCTTAGAGACTTGTGCAAGTCTACCTAAAAGCGTACACTGTTCGCTGAAGATGATGGATTGGTCTTTGACAGACAAAATGCCTGTTTTGAAACGTTGTCTAAGGAAATACTATGTCTTCAACAGAAATCTCCAACCCCACAATATTAAATGGTGGTGCCCCTAACTAACTAACATGTCAGTGCTGCGCGCCGATTGTCACACTGTGACATAGGCAACGACCCTGAAATCACTTCCGTCACGTACATTCATGTTTGTACACAAATTAGTCTACTGCGTTAGAAATGGGCCTCAGTAATTATCATACACTCGTGACTCGCCGACCGAATAGGAATATTGATTGACAGTGAATTATTTCATGCTTGTTCCAAATGACATAAATTGAATAGACCTGACAATGTAATACTTACGCAATTTCCGAGACTTCAACCAAATATTCACATTGCTTCTCCTTTGAAACAGGAAATGCGTTTCACGTCAAATGTCAAACAAATTGTCCCAGTGCTATGAATCCAGGAATGATATGATAAATATGACAGCCACCAAACCTATGATTACAGATTTAATGTTGTGAAGTTTCTGTGTCAGAGGTCACTGCCGCTGACATCCTGTGAAGTGCACGGGTAAAAATAGACTTCTAGGAAAACGTAGTTCACCAGGAGAAGGCGTCTTTAACATTGAGACCTTTGAGGCAGATAACCAGCTTTGCAATAAACACATCTCATGACTGCATGCATCACGCGCGACATGCGTGGGTTGCGACCGTAGCCACAGCCGGTGTAGACTTGGAAGGCCCAACTCAGATTGGTATATCCCGAATTATATCCATTTGTTCTGTTCGGCGAAAAACACACAGTCGCCCGATTGCCTGTGACCCGGCGGAAGTAAACCCTGTGACCTCGATTAACTTCAATTATAGTGCTTACGCCGGGGACGATTTCAAAACATCTACAAAGAAAAATGAAAATCCCTAGCCTTGCTCCAAGGTTGTTCAGAAAGAAAAGTCTATGGATGTGTGGTCATTCTATCCTCCTTATAGGCAAGTCTTGATATGTGGACAGTATCTTATAGGGACAACTTGTTCTTATTATTTACATAATCTAGCGATTATGATTTAAACTAATAGTTATTGCCTTAGAGACTTGTGCAAGTCTTCTATATACCCATCAAGTATTCCTCTGAAAGTATTTGTATTTATATCAATTTTTTTTTTTTTGCTTGTAGTTTAACGTAACGCACCAATATTCCAGTTGCATGACTGCGGCCTGCAGGTGCTCGAGACTGGGTCAGACCAACCAGTGATTGATATAATGAACAACGATCCACGCAGTCAAGGTACATAATCAACCAAGTCACTGAGCTTGACCAGCCGATCTATTTGGTCGCCTTGTACGAGAAGCATAGGGGTTACTGGTGATCCATTCTATCCCGGAATCCCCAAGTTGCATATAAGAAATAACCCGAGGTATTAAATATCAAAGGCAGTATTGAAAATATTAAAATCGAAAAAATATTATTTTAATATAATTATCATATACATGATTGAAACACTGTTGTCTGGAGTCAGCTGACTGAATCATCATTTAATTCGCCCAGTGTTCTCAACAATATTAGGAAAGTTATTATTTTAAAGCGCTCGCTCTTCGCTCCGAAGATCAAGGTTTGAGTCTCAATATGGTTACAATATTTCTGGGATACTGCTTAAAGCGTCGTTAAAGTCATACTCACTCACTCTTAACAATAAACAATAGGATATGTGGTCAAAAGATGAAAAATGTTCTGGGTTTTCTGCCGCCTGGAGGAGTATTACCGATATATATCGGCGTGTCCAAAGGACACAGTTGTGGATGTTCTCCGCTTTGGTGAAACACACACGTTCGGGTATCGTTCTAACAAATCAAATATGGAATACCACGATCGTCGGATCCTGACATAGAAAAGGGACACAACTCTGTATATGCTCACTGATAGCGTATTGTAAATCACTTTACAAAACTTCGTTCCAATACATGTGATTAGGTCATGACACGGGTGGCTCAGTCGTCTAAGGCGACGCAAGTCACTGTGAGACGCCTATGGTCGTGGGTTCGAATCCCTCATTCGACCTGATTAGGTTTTTAGGTTTGTCAGCAACATTCCCGTGTTCGTGGTTTTCATTGGTAAAGTTTGAGAACTGCATCACTTCAGGCTTTCCTCCTACTTCAATCGCACACCCCGTGATCTTACTTTAATACACTCTTCAAAAAAGGAAGCGCACATGTAGATTTTTAGTAAATTTATTGTACCCATTAAAGTCGATATACTTAATTCAATATCATAGATACAAAAATGAAATATTGGAGCTGGATAGTCACATGTTGTCGTTGTACAAAGGCATTGAAAACTGTTCATTGTCATGTCATATAAGGCCACAGGGTTGTGCTGAACTCAGTATCTCGTGTGACCGCCCCGGGCAGCAATCACGGATCTGCTTCTCCTCGGCACTGACTGGACAAGTGTACGAATTCTGTCCTGCGGAATTCTGTGCCATGCTGCTTCTTACGCGTTGGCCAGTTGAGGGAGTGTCTTACACGTCAATCAAGTTCATCCCAGAGGTGTTCCATTGGGTTGAGATCTGGAGATCTCGACGGCCAGGGCAAGGCGTTGATGTTGGTATGATGAAGGTAGTCTACCGTGACACGAGCTGTGTGCGGTGGAGCGTTGTCCTGTTGAAACAGACCCCTCTGGCGGTCAGTGATTGGATGAAGGTGAGGTTTAAGAATTTGATTCATGCGATTTGTTGTCATATTTCCCTTAACCACAACCAAGTCAGATCTCGTGGTGAAGGATATAGCCCCCCACACCATGACACTACCGCCACCGAAATTGCCGAATTCACGTACCCAATGTACGTACTTACAGCACCCGGCCAGCAAACAAGCATCTGTTTTACATTCCAGTCCCCACAGTTCCTTTGCTAGATTTAAATTTTGTGCAAAATAAACTTTTGAAAACTGCCTTCTTTCTTGAGTTCCAGAGTACTAGTCTTGACATGTGTAAAATGATAACTCACTCACAGCTCACGTGATTTCCATCTGACATCTAACATTAGATGAGAGATGTGAGTGAGGTTTCACAGTTTATTCCAGCAATATCACGACGGGGGACACCAGATATGGACTTTAAAAGCACCCATCGAACCCGGGCCTTTAGCGTGACGAGTGAAAGCCAACAAGTGAAGCCCCCGGGGTATAGTGAGTATATAACATGTAATACATGCATTGATAACGGACTCTCTGGACGGTGGGTACAATGTGTGAAGCCCATTTGTGGTGTCCCTCCGCCGTGATATTGCTGGAATATTGCTAAAAGCGGCGTAAAACCATACTCACTCACTCACTCACTATCTGGACGGCAAGTGTTGTGCTATAATGTTATAATGCACAACAAAATATAACATGTCTTATTGGGCATACCACATATTGCTGAATGTCACTTTTAAAATACTTGTTGAAATGACAGAGCAATAACATTTTAAATATGGTGACGAAGTTTGAAATTGGATCGGAATCCTGAGAACACATCACCGCTGGGTCATGTATACATCACCTCATAGGCCTTGCAGTTGCAGTGGACATGCCAGAAACATCAAACTTAACGACGGACAACGCGCCACAACACACCCTTCTGGGTGGGTTCGATAAATTTCAAAATGTCGCAATCATATATCGTATATCATGAAAATGGTGCGAAGAAATGCGAGTCTCCCATTAAAGTGAGGCCTTTATATTTGGGAATAATGGAGCTTTGAAGTCTTATTATTTTTCGGTGTTCGTTTACTAAATTTTAGGACTAAAATGGTCGAAAACCTCCAGGTTAGTACTGCAACTAATGAATGAAAAACACTTTTGTCACAGCATCACGGAAATACGATTACGAAACGACACCGAAATTTATTTTTGGTTAAAACTAATATTTTCTACGTATTATTCACCATTTCTTACGAACAGTTGTTATAAAATATCGTCATTTTTATCATTTTTCAATTTTCGTCAAAAGTCATTTTGTTTTTCTGCACTGATTGGCAAATTCAAAACGGGGTAATTTAGCCAAGACGTTTAACTAAAGGTATATCGATGATTTGATATCATCATATAGCCAGTTCCCTTCCACTGATTTACCCACCTGAACTAGAAATAAAGGAGACCAGTGACCAGGAGACCGCCTTACCTGTTTTATATTTAGATCTATGCATAAAGATTCAGAGAGACAAACCAGTCTCCACAAGACTGCATGACAAGAGGGATGACTTCAACTTCCCCTTCATGTCGAGCAATATTCCAGCAGCTCCAGCCCTTGGGGTCTACATTTCACAACGTTTGAGATACAGTCGAGCATGCTCTTTCTTCCAAGATTTCAAAGTTGTTTGATCAAGGTCACAATATTCAAGGCCTCAGTAAAGCTTTCAAAAACAGTGTCATTGTAGATATGTGGAGTACATTTCCAAATGTGATGCATCAGTGACAAAAAATATGTCCGATGCAATTCCCAACTTGACATGTACCATGTCTTCCCGTGTATTCAGGTGAACAATTGACTTGCCTTTGCATGTGTTTGTGACGGGTGGATACGCTCACCTTTTCGCGAACACCTTGTATCATCACTGTTTGATGGTGATTCATAACACATGCTCATGATATAGTCGGAATCGTACAATCGAAATGGAAAGAGTTTTGTCGCTTTTATTCTAATTTCAGTCTCGTAAACCAACTTACAAAAGAATAAACAGTAAACTACGGTTATAACGAACTCAAAGGGGCAACTGATTTTAGTTCGTTATAACCCTAGTTTGTCATAAGCATAATACAGCAAATGGACGGGACCAAAAACAGTTCGTTATATCCGTCAGTTCGCTATAAGCGTGTTCGTTATAAACGTAGTTAGGCCGTATTGTAACGTCAGGCTCGCCACACCTACTGGTAGCCTTGGCGCTGAGCTCAGTAAACAAAGTACATTAGTAAACAGACTATATCAAGCGGAAGTGCAAATGGTTTTCCCCGGCAAGTTGAGACAGGCGTCTCACTTCCACTCAGCCATTGTGCCACTCAAGACGAGACAGTCAGCATCCTGAACATGAGAGCTTCTCTGCCGCATCGGAAGGTGAGAGTTATGACACACACAGTGACTCAGGCGATATACAGCGTGGAGCAATGTCATCGCCAGACAGGGAACTCGACAATATTGAACAGTTATTTGAAAACAAATGATCTCTCTTCATTACCAATTCAAAACACATCAGCTGACATAACGCATATTTTTCTCGAACCTACATCATACACTGGAGCTATACATATATCAGCTACACCCTAGCTACTGGAGCTATACATATATCAGCCACACCCTAGCTAATGGAGCTATACATATATCAGCCACACCCTAGCTAATGGAGCTATACATATATCAGCCACACCCTAGCTACTGGAGCTATACATATATATCAGCCACACCCTAGCTACTGGGGATATACATATATCAGCCACACCCTAGCTACTGGAGCTATACATATATCAGCCACACCCTAGCTACTGGAGCTATACATATATAAGCCACACCCTAGCTACTGGTGATATACATATATCAGCCACACCCTAGCTACTGGTGATATACATATATCAACCACACCCTAGCTACCGGAGCTATACATATATCAGCTACACCCTAGCTACTGGAGCTATACATATATCAGCCACACCCTAGCTACTGGTGATATACATATATCAGCCACACCCTAGCTACTGGTGATATACATATATCAGCCACACCCTAGCTACTGGAGCTATACATATATCAGCCACACCCTAGCTACTGGAGCCTACATGTATCAACCACACCCTAGCTAC